GGGGGGGGGTTGGGGGGGCGGGTGGGGGGGGTGGGGGGGGAGGGTTGGAGTAAACTCTGGTTAGGATGAACGACTAGTTTTGGTTCACAAAAAGAAAAAAATCGACATCAGAGGCGAGGAATTCTCTGCGACTACATATCCTCAACTGCTGAGGTAGGAGTGACCATCACAGCATCTCAGCGGCCGTTAGGACTGATCTGACGCCAGGAGATCTTCATGTGGTGAGAGTGGACCTGGACAACGCTGTGCCAGAGCTGGAGATGAAGGGCGGCCATGATGGAAGAGAAAGATTTTAAACAAAACTCTAAAAAAAGGGATGGATTTGTTGACCAGAATGTCAGAAAGTACTCGAACGAAGAACAAGGTTGAACATCAGTCCGTGACATCACTTCACCACCGTCTTCACATTCACTTCTGGACAAGCAGGGAAAAAGGGGGGGGAGTGGGGGAGACGAGGGGAGGGCGGCTCTACAATTCTAATCTGTCACTAATTAGACTCTCAGGCCTGTCAATCATTACACAGCGTAGAAAATTCTGCTCCCACCCATGGTGAAAATCCCCAGTTCGTCATCGACGTCTTCAACCCATGGTGTGGAGAGTCGTTAAAGGGCAGACGGTGGTTAGAGTTTTGGGGGAAAAGTTCATGGAAAAGTCCAAATCTTTTAAAACTACATCTTGTTCTCCGGGTGACAGAGAGCGACTCTGACTCCTTTTCACCCCCCCAAAAAAAACCCGAGACTTTATCTCCACGTCACGAATTTAAATAAATAAAAAAATAAACACAGAGACTAAACTTAAATGACGCAACAGTTATCCGGAATTTTCTGGATTGTTCGAACGCCTCAATAGAAATCCAACTGACGGAATGTACTTTTAAAAAATCTCGAAAAAACAATTTAAAAAAAATAGTTATATATATATATATATTCTGTTGTAAAACAAAAACGTCTCTACTTATCTGAGGAGACGAACACTACGGCCGGTTGTTCCCTGATCCACGCAGCCGTGCTGTGGCGATCTTCTTGGCGCCCACTCTCACACAAGTCTCGCTCTTTACGCCGCTGAAAATGCAGGATGCGTGCGATTGTTCCTCCGCAGCCATCACCGTTAAGTCAGCCAGTGACTGGGTGAGACGCTACTTCCGGTTGTGATTTTCAAAATAAAACGGAAACGTTTATTTGGCGACTAAGTCGGCAATTGTCAAATCCAACACTCGGAAACTTTAAAAAGTAAATCGTTACTGGTACTATGTAGTTAACGCACAGTTTTTCAGACTAGTTAACGTTCACTAAAGATGATGCTTTGACATTGGCTACTAGTGGAGTCTGTGTTGACATTATTTCTATCTGCGTGTTTAGTTTAACTGTTAGCTGCGATCAATATAATCGGTGTGCTACAACGTTAGCAACAAGAACAACAGTCCTTCTTATATAAGTGCATCTTACGACATGTACATGCGATGCAGGTTGAATTTCCACCGATGTTTCACTACAGCCTTCAGCTCTGCTGCCCTCTGGTGTACAAAGAACAACACGTGACAGCTGAGTAAATAGGGTTCTAATCTGTTTATTGTGGTTTTGTTTGGATACAGAATACAGTCCAGCAATATAATCATCTCAAAGAAACAAAGCTTAAAATATAAAACCAAAAAAAAAAATTAGCAAATTTTATAAAATAACTCTGACAAACAGTAAAGGCTTCTCAGCTACTTAGGTAGGGGTTGGAGGGTGCAGTGTGTAGGTTTTTGAAACTGCACTCCAGGTTCTGTAAAGTGCACAGATACAACAGTGGGGTCTGTTTCCCCTCGGGGTAGTTTATGATTACGGGCACAAACGCGGGAATGGCTTCTCTTACATCACCAGCCCATAGTTAATATGGGCCGTTAGGAAAACAGCTGTAACAGTCCTCGTCTCCGAATGCCACTGTTTTAACTCTGCGACTGTGTTTCACCAAACGGACGTTACTGTTACGTCACGCCGCAGATGGGACGTTTCTCCACAGCGGAGTATAAGAAGACCTGAGTTTTATCCACAAAAGATAATTGAATAGAAAAATAACATCTCACAGTTTCCACTCAGCCTTGGCTCCTGTGTTGAAGAACAGAAAGAACTCTGTGTGTGTGAGTGAGCGAGTGTTTGCTGTTGGTTCTGCCATCTCAGGTGCAACACTGGAGTCAGATTTTTTTTTTTTTGCAGAGTCTTAGGGTTTTTTAGTTTTGTCTATTTACAGTCAGGGCCTTTTTTTTTTTTTCCTCTCCTTTTGGCATGACTGAAATGATCAACTCACTTGTCGTGACAGACCTTAGAGCAAAGGTTTTTTCACAGTAAGAAAATTCTGCGGTTAGGATAAAGTGGTTTATGTTACCAAGGCAACTGTATGTGGCACGATGGGCACAGCACTCTCTAGAATCTTGACAGTGATTTTTTTTTCTCTTAGTGCGCACACACACACACACATAGACACACACATACACACGCAGATTTTACAAACAGTACCAGAAATATACACACTGGATGCGTATTCTTGGCTCCTTTTGATCTGTTCATTTCCACAGACGTAGATTATCCTAATCCACACTCCAGCAGCAGATTAAAAACATTCACTGATGAATTAGTACAATATAATTGTTCCCAGTATCAGTGTTCGTTGTTCTAGTCACACATGACAATATAAATAATATGACTTTGTACTTGCTGTTTTTATAATATATATATATATATAGATTTTACTGCATATTCATATATTCCGTATTTGATACGTATCCAAATGTATTACAATACAGAAATACGACAAGGATTTGGCTCCGGTTAGTATCATATTTACAAGAGGTTTCTGTCATTTATTTCTCTACAAATATTTACAGAATATATATTTCACACCTGCTGTCAAAGGGATCTGCATTATCACAATTATATATATATTTATATATATATTTAGATATACATTAGAACGTTATAGGTTGAGGCACATGTCCACGTATGACAAAGAGACGACGACGTAGCAACACGTTAACGTTCATGAAAGTTAGAAATCCATCGTCCGTCCGACTGCTAAGTGTAGCAGGTGTAAAAAAAACGTGACTCCGTTTGAGTGGAAGTCTACGCAAAAGTTAGGCAAAACAAAAGTCAAAATATGAATTTTTTATTTGGACCCATTTAGAGGAAAATGCACGATAAAGTAAGATGGAGTTCATATAAGGTGTCATGTGACGTGTCAAATGGAATGACCAATCACATTACCTCTAAACGTTGTTCTCAAACTGCGGTCTGTGCTACTATAGTGACATGGTTGACGTGGGCTCCCCCTAGTGGTTCCTAAGGTGATCTTTGCTTTTTAACTTTTTTTGAAAAGAACATTTGTTAAGTATTGAAGGTACATAAAATAAAGGGCAATAAAGTAATGCAGCTGTAACTGGACTGGATATTAAAGTTGCCCTCAGGCCTGCAGAGACACTGACAGTCAGTATAAATGTTGACTGTTGGGCGTCTGTGGTGATGGTAAACACAACGTTAGCTTCTGGTCAGCGGTGCACTGGAGAAGGTGATGCAATTTTTTTTAAAATATAGAACAACTGTATGAAATTGGCTTATAGAAAAATAACCCCACCTTGTAGGTTAGCATTTGTTAGCTTAGCTTTGAGGAGGAGCACTTTTATGTGAAATGTAGAGTTGCACACCTTAAACTCGAGCAAAGGAAAAGATAAATGTAGCAGAAAAATGAAAAAAAAAAAAACCATCATGAAGGTAAAGTGTTTTCTCTGAAGACTTCCACTCAGACAGAATTACTTTTTTTTTTTTTTACTGAATCGCTGAAGCGACTTCCTTGGCTCCACTGAGGCGCTGTCCATTTGTTATATACGCTCTACTATGGTTTTGACTGTCTGCCTCCAGACCAGACCAGACCAGCGGATGTGAGCGGCTGATGGCCTTGGACGGCTGCTTTATTATTGCTCAGTATATTCATGAGGTATACAGTAAGTGGAGGTCTTTGTCCGGGGGGGGGGGGGGAGGGGGGGGAGGACCACACAGAGAGAGAGGGAGAGAGAGAGAAAAGAAAGGTGAGTGAGTGGGATAAGATGTCTGGAACCTTCTTTAGACCTCTTTCCGCCCGACGGCTGCAACTTTGAAATGCAAAAAAAATAACAAAAGGATCAGCTGCTCGGAACAGGAAAACGAGCTCCTCGGTGTATCAGAGTGTGTATAATTTAAGGATGATGAATGTATTTCAGATTGTAGCTGTAAAAAGGCACAAAGAACGGGACGTCACACTAACGTAGAGAGACAGGGAGACGGTGGGGTTGGTTTTTGTTTTGTTTTCGTGTGGGCAGCTGCACGTCACCGGTCAAGGTCGAACGACATCATTGGACACCTGCATTCTCTGTCTACTGTCCAACAGCTGCTCATCCTTCCCGTTGCCCCCTTTCTTTTATTCAAGGTGGCTGTTCCTGCCCTTGGCCTGTGCTGCCCTCTGGTGGCTGGGTGCGAGCCAAGGGCCTGGCAGAAGTGGCGTCCGGTGTCTGCCCGCGTTGGCCAGAGAGAGGCCTGAGATACTGGCAGCTGCGGACATGCTGCCGTCTGATTGGCTGCCTTCAGACTCAGACTCACCGCCCCCCCGCTGGTCTAGGGACAGCATGGAGGTGAGGAAGGAGAAGGGCTCCGTCTGTGACCCTGCAGGCAGAGGGCGCTTTAATCGCCCACTTTCTGCATCGTCATCATCATCATCATCATCATGGCCTCTGTCCTGACTCCCTGCTGTGTCTTTACTCCCCTCCCCGTCATTAGACCACCATGTCTGCTGCTCCTGCTCCCTCTGCAGCTCCCCCTGCAGGTCCCTCTGCTCCCTGTCGTCCTCATTAGCTGCCACATCCCAGTTTATCTTCGGTCTGGGAAGTTTTAGGTTTGGATTGGGAATGGGTAGTGTGACGTTGTCTTCACTCACTCCTCTCTGTGGGTTTCCTCTCTCCTCCTGCACCTCCTGCTCCTCGACCACCTCACCCCTGTCCTCTGTCCTGTCCAGAACAGCAGGCGCGTTCTGTTCTCCCTCTGACACCTCCTCTGCCTCCCGTGTTCTGCGCCTCCCCCTGCTCCTGCTCTTCCCCTGCCTCTCCGTTTTCCCTCCTCTGACTGTTTCCTCTTCTATGTCACTACCATCGCTATTCCTGAGAGCGTCTCCGGACGTACCCTGAGACCTCCTTTTTCTCCTCCTCCTGCTCCTCCTCCTCATCGTGTCCCTGGCTTCCTGCTCAGATACGGGGCTCTGTACATCTGAGTGCCCCCCTCCCTCTGAGGCAGGTCTTCTTCTCCTCCTCCTCCTCTCGGTCTGTCTTTCACTCTCTCGTCCATCTGCAGACCTGCTTCTCCTCTTCTGTTTGGAGCTGCGCCCCCTCTGTCTCGTGGAGTCTACTGCAGCCAAACTCTGCTTCTTGGCGTGACGCAGGAGGGGGGGGGAGATGATGCCCTCATGGCCTGGACATCACACAGGGAAAGAACATGAACAACAGCCACAAAAACAACGACAGAGAAGAAACATTGTGTGTCTTAGAATGGGACGGAGAAGATAATATATATCATATAATCAAATTAAATCTATTGTTAAAAACTCATAATGAAATAAAGACTGTTATTATATGTGTTTTTTCCTGTCGTGACATTTCAGGTAGTAAAGGTAGAGACCAGGGATGTAACGATGCAACAACATGATGATTCACCAACTGACATGGTCTGTGAACCTCATCAACTGACATTGTTCATCCCTGTTAGAGACGTATATTCAAAGTAGTATAAAGGCAGCGAGGCCTGGAATAGTATTACTACACAATGGAGCTGATTTTACTACAAGGAAAAAACCATTAGTGCCGAGTGAGCAGAGTGATGTAGAGAGACAGAAAAGAGCAGAACTAACAGGAACCATTACCAACCGCGTATTTTCTGTCCGTCCAATGACATAGAAGCACGGCTCGCCAAGTTTGGAGTTGGTCATACAGAGAGACAAACTGGACAGTTCCACTGAGAGGGACGGAAAAAGGAAGACAGAGTGGAGGACAGAAGACAAGGATCCCAATAAGGAAAGAAAAGAAAAGCCAAAATATGTTAAACAACCAGAAAAAGAAAGAAATATCAGGACTGGTTAGTTAGTGAGTTGGTTAGTTAGTTAGTTAGTTAGTGAGAATCCAGACCAAAGCCAAAGCACAGAAAGAAGGATTGAAGGATTTACTGACAGTATTTCATTAACTTGATGTTTAAAAAAATAGCGTAATGTTTATTGCAATAAGTCATTTGTAAAATTAATCAGATTAACATTTTAACTAATGACCACATGTGCAGAATGAGCCAGACTGTGTATTAAATTCTTCTTCTTCCATTCCTCACTGTTGCTGTACTTTAAACAAACTGAAGTTTTTTCCATATGAATAAATCCATCAGTCACAAATAAAAACAGGTGAGAAACACTGACATCTACCTGCTGTTATCTGTTCCTGCAACATACAGAAAAAAAAAAAGTTGTTTGAAAAATTTAAAAAAATGTTGATTCATCTCCTTGTGTTTAATTGTGTTTAATAGTGATTGATGATCACAGCTACACTGCTTGAATATCTTGAATGTTTTGACAGCCTCAGTTGTTACACCTATGCGTGTGTTCCTCCTTTGTCTCACCATAGTCCGGCACGTAGCCGTTGCCTTTCTTGAGCACCAGGTGGATGCGGTGTCCTCCTCGGCGGATCTGCTCCACGGCCTGACTGTGGGTCATCCCCGCTGTACTGTCCCCATTGATCTCCACGAGCTGGTCGCTCACCTGTGGGCAGACCAACAGACAAATACACCAGGGCAGCACCAGGGGCAGTTACTGGACCCTGAGGACCAGGACCAGGACCAGGACCAGGACTTGTTGGCCCAGACATGAAACCCATGGGGACCCACAAGAACCCATGGTCTCTGGGACAACTTCCTGTGTTGACTGTACTATACTCTACACACACACACACACAAACCTGAATTTTGTGGCTGCGTGAGGCCGGCCCCCCCTCCATCAGACCCAGGATGTAAAGGCCCATGTTGTACTCGCTGCCTCCCCTCAGGCTGAAGCCGAAGCCCGAGGAGCCGCGGTCCAGGTCCACGCTGTAGTACCTGGAGTCACGCTGGGAGACAAAGACAGACAAACTCCAAATCAGTGACGTATCCAGCTGTGAACAGCAACGAGCTGGGGCGGGGGGGTGACCTCACCTTTGGACGTGACCTCTGCCCTTTCCTGCCTTGTTGTCCCGGGTCATATTCAGGTGTTTCGGTGAAGCTCGAAGAGTCTAGGATTAATCAGTCAGAGGTGATTGATTGGTTATCAATATCAGACTTGACTCCAAAACATTTAGATGATGGCAGTAGTACTTCAGAGTATGAAGTACTATAAGTCGAATATAAGTCCCACTAGTGCCCTCTAGCGGCCGTCAGTGTGAAAATACAGTACAATACAGTACATTTTCAGTGGTACAGGAATAGCAGATACTGGGACACAAGCCTAGACTGCCCTCTAGTGGTTGAATTATATATTTTAATATTTAAATCGCACCTGAGTATAAGTCGCAAACCGACTTATAGTCCAGAAAATACGGTATGTTGTTTTGCTGTTAGTAGCATGTGGCATGTAAAACTGGTCGACCTTCCTCTCTCTTTATAGGACTAGTCTGACGTATGAGGTGACGATTTGTTCTAAGCACAGTGAGGCTACGTTTGAGGCACTGCCACCAACGGCTCAGGAGCCACAGGTTGGAGACCAACTGGACAAGGTTTTATCATAGTTTTGTTTGTACGCATTTCCATCCATGAACTCCTGACTTACAGGTGCTTGGACGAGGGACTATGGTGATCCTCAGAGTATTTCCCGCTCGGCGCAGTAGCTGAGCTAGCTCCCGGTGAGGCAGCGTGACCACAGAGCGCCCCTCCACGGCCTCCAGTCGGTCCCCGGGCCGGATCTGTCCACTCTTAGAAGCCGGGCTGCCACGACGGACCGTCACAAACCGGTGAGGGAGAAGAGACGCAGCTGAGGAGAAGGAAAAAAAAAAAATATATATATTTACTTACCAGAAATGTCACTGATTTAGCGATTTTGACTTCCCTGCCAAAACTCCAGCTCCGAGTCCAAAACTTTCCTCCAATCAAGGCGTTTTTGTTTTGTTTTTTGTCTCTGTGCCACAATTTCTAAAAACAAGATCTAATTAAGTCCAGGATTGGCTGGATTTGGTTTCACTTAATAAATGACTTCCTCCATTCTCTCCTTGAAACACTCGTTCCTTTGTCCTCCCCCCCCTTCCCATCTATCAATCCACGTCTCCATCCACTGACAGCTGGTTCTTAGTCACTGGAACACCAGCGTTCAGTTACATGTTCCTGCGCCGTATCTTTTTTTAAATTTTTTTTTCATAAATGAACACTGTGGTTAATAACGTGTCGTTGGCTCAGCTCTTCAAACAGCACTCGTGGCCTGTCTGCATCGCTATGTCACCTGCATACAAACTACCAGCCTGCAAATAAACACACACACACACACACACACACACTCACACACACAACAATTACTGCTGGCACAACATATGTGTGGGGAAAAAAAAACGCAGGCTGTTTTTCTGACATTAAATCCTAGACTGTTACTGTCAGCTGAGGCTCCGCTAAGGCTGTTAGCACTGAAGTGTTAGCACAGAAGTGTTAGCACAGAAGTGTTAGCATGCAGATACAAACACATGGACGTAGATGTGATTAGGCCTTGTGTCATCATAACCCACGGAGGACACGGCGTCCCATCAGGCTGAGCTCAGTCAATACAGAAGGTCAAAGAGAAATATATTGAACATATACAGATATGTCTCCATTGACCTTTGACTCCAGAAACTCCCCCTAGTGTTTGATTTTAGTTTATTTCCTCCCTCCCTAGAGTCTTGTCAGCAGACCGTTGTCATCCTTCCAGAATTCGTAGAAAGTTGAGCTGAATTATAATCAAACTTTATCATTAAATATATACAACATACAGCTCAACTTCTCCTGCCGTTAAATCTATTATAACAGGTGTGAAGACCAAGTTTTTGTCCTCACCATATCGTGACATGTGGCATGTAACATGACAGTAAGAATGGTAAACAGGCAGAGCTGCAGCTTATAAGATCCTTGGTTCATGTTGCAGAGTTCTTGCAGTGATATTTTGAGCACGGTAAGATGGAAAAATCATGTTGTAAAAATATTGAGTCTATTGAGTTTTTTTATACAAAATTCCACTCAGTCATGGGTGTTCATATATGTATGCCCACATATATATATATTTAATATATATCTTAGAAAGTCAGTAAAAATACTGTCATGTTTTACTCTCATATGAAGAGAAATTCCACTCAGATTATTGGTGGTGTTTAAATGTCCGTCATATTTCCAATCCGTCTTCACCTAATCTGGATGAACCTGGCATAAACAGACACACCTCTGCACACACACACACACACACACGTTTTTAATCTACACCCAGATTAGTCCAAATGGACTGGTTCACGTAGTTCACGCCTCCTCTCCTGTGGCTTTTTATACATGATGTTCAGATTAATCCCACTGCGGTAATGACCGGCCACTGAGGGGTGGTCAGAACAAGTGCCCCCCCTCTGCCCCCCCACTTCCTGTCAGCATCATTAAAGCATCCCAGAAACTGTGGCCGGGGCTGAGGGAGACCAAAGGGAGAGCGAGTGAGCGAGTGTTGTTGATGAGGCGAGTGTGTGTCGGTTCCTGCTGGAGTCAGCAGAGTTAGAGATGGTTGTGTCTGTGTGCACGCAGCAGCACGACATGTCCTGGCAGATTAAGCCTGACTGGATTAAAAAAAGGAAACACACACACACACACACACACACAGATACACATTTACATACTTTCCCCGTCCCTGCTGCTGTGAACATCAATCACGCTACATCACTCACGGCAACAGATGAACAGATATAAACGCACACGAGCCAGTAAACTTGTGCAGCTCAGCGTCACAGTAAAGTCCAACACACTGCACCAAAGTCGCGACAAAATATCAAAGGACAAAATGGAGCAAATAATTACGTTTGGACTCCTTCACAGTCCTCAGAGCAGACTGCAGTTTCTCCAACATGGTTCTCACATTGGCACAAACAGGAAAACAAACAAACAGACTCCGTGTTTCCTCCCCCCGTCCTGAGGATGCAGAGATCCACGTGTGACGTTCGACAGAAACTTGAGAAGAAAAAAAAAAACAAAAACAAAAAAACCCCCAGCCTTTGCCTTCGTCTGTACTTACAGCTCCACTGAGAGGGAAATGACCAGCAGCATTTCTCTCACAGCATTCAGAGAGATGGTGGGAATGAGAGGGAGAAGAGGGGAGGAGAGAGAGAGAGAGAGAGAGAGAGAGAGAGAGAGAGGAAGAGGGAGGGAGAGTTTTAATCTTTTGAAATACCAGACCGGACGCTTTTACTGCAGCGTGAGAAAAGGGTGTGAGGGAGTGGAATCGAACGAGTGGGAAAGAACTGATGAGAGGGAGGTTAGTGGAGACGGGGGAGAGACGGGAGGAGGAAAGGAGGAGAGAGGAGAAACACAGGGCCGTGGAGGATGAGAGGTAAAGACGGGGAGAAGTTTTTTTTTGTGTGCAGCAGAGACAGATGCACCAGTGACGGGTCCCACAGCAGCAGCAGCAGCAGCAGCAGCAGCAGCAGCCAGCAGACGCAGAAACGGCCCAGGCGATAAAACAACAAAAAA